TGCTATTTGCAACGGCGACGATATTAAGCCAATTAAAGTGCAATCAGCCTCCAGAAGAGTTACATCCGTGACAGCACCTAAGAATTTGGAGGAAAGTTCCAAATCTTTTACCCTCAATCGAACTTTAGATCCTCTCACATAGTATCTGAAATAAAGAAGAAAATAATAAGACGCACAGAAGTCGGCATTCGAAATACAGCGAGTATCGTTAAAATAAGATTCAGAAATATAAGTATAAAACGGCGTATATACGAGTCAAGCGCGATAATTAGTGCGCAACAAATAATAAAATCAAATTACTGTTGTAACTTCATAAGGCCTGTTCTTTACAGCTGAACTGGCTGCACTAGTTGACAGTTTTTCTTTTCTACATTAGAAGAAGAAAGATAAACTCTGAACTTGTGCAGCCAGTATTCGGCTATAAAGAACAGGCCTGTTAACATATTAGAGACGTTTCGGCTCTTCTTTCGAGCCATCTTCAGTACGTGCTAGAGAAAAGTATGGTATACACAGAACAATCACTGTCAACCTCGAGGTGGAAGACTCCTGCCGATCTTGAGTGAAAAATAATGTTCACTGTATCCGTGCTTACGGTAAACGTCAGCAGTGACTCTATATCGGAACAGGTGCACAAAATTTATTAATCTCAAATGCTTCTTTCATTATAATATCAAAATTTAATTGTAAAAGTATTTGAAGATTATAATTAAATTTTAATATTATACAAAAAAAGTATTGTTAAAAATAAGTTTTCGTATATGTATTTCAATATAGATACATATTCATTCCTGGTACGTTTACTTTAACAGCTCGTATACATTTGTACATCTCTTCTGGCAGGGAGTTCCACCTCGAGATTGACAGCGATCGTTCTGTGTACCATACTCTTCTCTACTATGCAGATGACCTGAAAGGAGAGCTGAAACGTCTCTAAGGTAAACGTACCAGTGGCTGAACATGTATTTATATCTGAACACATACACAAAATTTATTAATCTCAAATACTTTTTTTATTATAATATCAAAATTTAATTGTAAAAATATTCAAAGATTACAATTAAATTTTATTATACAAAAAAAGTATTGTTAAAAATAAGTTTTCGTATATGTGTTTCAATATAGATACATATTCATTCCTGGTATGTTTACTTTAACAGCTCGTATACATTTGTACATCTCTTCTGGCAGGGAGTCTTCCAACTCGAAGTTGACAGCGATCGTTCTTTGTACCATACTCTTCTTTACCATGTAGATGGCCTGAAAGGAGAGCTGAAACGTGTCTAAGGTAAACGTACCAGTGGCTGAACATGTATCTATATCTGAAAC